AGACAGACCTTTACCCTCCCTTGCCCCCCCCCCCCCCCCCCAAGAATTCAGATGCTGGTGCTGCCACTGGTTAGCAGATTGAACTTTTTTTTAGGATCTTCATAAAATGATTTGATAATCATGAGTGATAATGAGTACCAGTACCAAACATGCTTAAAACCTGACAAAGATTCTAGATGCTCCACTTTTCCTCAAAAGTTAGAGCATGAAATACACAATACAAAACAGTTGATATTAGTTGATAGAAATCAAATGTACCGTAACATTTTATATATATTTTTTTTATTTAACTATTTTGTTTCAGAAGACGCAGATGGTAGATTGAACATCTGGAACTGGAAGACAACTAAACTGTTAAAAAAATTCAAAGCCCACGATGGCGTCTCAATAGGCTGTATATGGCATCCACACGAAACATCCAAAGTTTTTACATGTGGATGGGGCAGACTTAATAAACTGTGGGATTAAAATTGGATGGATTATATTTAAGCTGTTGGATTAAGATTGGATGGACACATTGTGATATGGAGTTAAGATTCATTTGTCTGTGATGAACAGGAGTATGGATTAACTCATGCTATAAAACTGGGATTAAGATGTATCAATTGGGATTAACATCAGATAGAATCAACTCATGAAGATATGGGATTATTATTCGTTTGCATGGATATTATTCAGCTCTATGACAGGATTGGATTAATAAAACTCAAGAGAATGAAATTGATACCTATTGGATTAGTTTAATCTCATAAAAAGGTAATCCTATTGGATGTTGAGTTATCACAACCTGGAACATTTTCACAGAAACTACTGTATACATTGTATAGATTTTTTATTCTGGAGAGAGAACATGTGAACATTAATAGCTGTATAGCACAGATAGGCGAAGTGTGCCACACTCGGCCCGACGGCATCTTTATTGCGGCCTGCAGCAACCCTATGTGTGCAGCCTTCCTACCATTTTTTAGTTTGAAATCCCCCTAAGTTTATGGTCCACACCATCATTATTAAAAATAATATTAGACCTAGGCATAAAGCGGTATATAAGCAGTGCATGAAAGTTTTTCTGTAAATGTCAACTCAACAATTGATTTCAATTTATTCTGTCACATTTTATAAAAATGCAAATTCAGAAAACAAAAAGAGCAAGGAAAATTGAAATTTTCAGGATGTCAATCGAATTGCCAATAGCAACATTAATCACTTTCTAAGTAGCCCTCCAACACTCGCCCAACCCAACAACACAGAATATAAATTTATTCAAGTACTGTACTTTGATTCATAATGATAATATTACCTTTTAAAAATAGTTTAAAGGCAATAATTTATGATGTACTGTAAGATAAGAAAAATCATGATTTCTTCATGTACTAAATAGTGTTGGTCAGGCAGTTATATTTTTCATAATTGTCTTATGGTGCAAATTATGAGTGAAACGCCAACTCGATAAGGCCTAACAAAAATTGTTAGTTTGCCTTCCAGTGCCCGCCCATAGCTCACAGAAAAACAGGTTCGGCGTTTTAAAAAAAAGTATTTTTTAATTTTTTTTTTACAAATTTTAAAAAGTGATCTTTATTTTCCATCATTTTGCACATGAAAGTTTTCTAAATTTGGTGTCTGATGTAAGGTATCGCCATTCTAGGCCTAAAATTCATTACAAAATATTGATTACGGGTTATTTTTTTATTCAGTCTGATAAATACCCTTTGAAAAAGTAATAGTGAAACAGGCTTAATTGCAAGCATTGCGATTTAATATGTTATTTTGGTGACAGGATAAAAAACAAAACTAATAACTCCTATACAATTTTCAGCATTAAAGGGTAATACAAACAATTTATTTTTTAGGCCTAACCCTGGGGTCATGTATCTCTTCTCTTAACATCTTTTAATCGTTACTGGCCTCTTAACTTGTTACATTACGTGTGGAAAGTATTATTAGGCCAATTATTAGGCACATGTATCTTCATGTGCCTTTTAGCTTTTTAATGTTATTTGGCTTGTACTGCTATATACTGTAGATTATTTTAATGATGTTTTTCAAATAAATTCTTTGTATTAAAATGTTTTTTTTTTTACTATATATATATATCTGTACTGCTATTTTTTTTTTCTAAGAAGTGAGTTCTACAGTCTTAGGACAATGGAAATATATTTTTCATTAGAAAAAGTGTCTTGGATTTTATAGGTGCAACGTTTATCTGAGATTAAATTTATTGTGAACACAATGTACTGTACATTGTTAAAATTGGAAGCGTGTCAATTGGCAAACAATTTTACAAATTTAAAATTGGACAATATTTACTATAAATGATATTTTTATTTTGTATATTATTAAGACCCAATACTAGTGTTTAATGTTATTTTCATACATAGATTCCTGTTTTTCATATTTCAAAAAAAATTATAGTTAGTTAATTTAATTTTATATAGATGTTATTAAATTCTAGAATTATACAGCCTTTGACACGGATAGGTCTGTCTTACTTCAACTTGATTAAATAGGGATACCACGAGTTTACGAACTACGATCTAACGTCGATGCAATCTCGCCATGACGTCATGATAATGTTAAATTTAGTAAAATTACCATTATGTTTGTGAAATAAAATTTTCTGTGCTTCCTATTTCCCTGTCCTGTTTGATTGTAAATTAGATGGTAGTATTTCCATTCATAACAGTGTAATCGCAATACTACTGTGCTTGCACAAGTGGAATTCAAAAAGAGGAAAGGAAAGAGCTCTTGATTAATTACATAAATACTGTACATGCAAAGAGATTATTAGAGTTCAAATACGTCAAAAGCTATTATAGAACGCCGTTTACGCAACAATGCGATGATTTTTGGTTCTATACAAATTTAGCTTTGATATGAATTTTGCTTCGATGCGAATTTTGCTTCGATGCGATTTTTCTTTAATATGAATTTTGCTTTGATATTGAGTTGTATCGAAACAAAATTCGTATCGAAGCAAAATTCGTATTGAAGCAAATATCATATCGAAGCAAAATTTATCGGAGCAAAATTCATATGGAAGCAAAATGTCTATGGAAGCAAAATTCGTATGGAATCAAAATTCGTATCGAAATAAAATTAGTATCAAAGCAAAATTCGTATCGAAGTATAACTCGTATCGAAACAAAATTCGTATCGAAGCAAAAATCATATCATCGCATTGTGGCGTAAACGGCGTTCCATAAGCTAATTAGCAGATAACTAATAAATCATTATTTTCATGTTTGCAAGAAATATATAAGCAGGCACGATTATGATTACTGTACCAGGATAAGTTGAAAAACTTTTTATGATCAGTATTTCAGTGGCAGGTTCAAGGGGGCCCAGTCAGCCAGCCTACCCTTCATATTTTTTCCCCCAAAATTTAAAAGTGGAGAAAAAAGAAAATTACATATATTCAAATTGAAGTCTGAGAGTACCATTTCGGCCAACTACAGTAGAGGTGGCATAATGGGGGGTGGGGGCTGAGCCCCTTTTCGATTTTTTTTCCCACTGTATTTTGAAAATGTAGTGTAGAGAGAAAAATGTTAATTGCATTTCTTAAAATCAATTAGATACGACTTAAAAGGCTATAGACGCCGCTTCCGGGGCCCTAGGCGGCCCCCCGGCCCCCAGCCAAGGCTTGAAGACTTCCTTATTTTGTCACTTTGGTCTCCCTCCCACTTTCAACCCCGGGTCACCCTTCTATTCGAGGAATTACGGTATTGTATTGAAACAGATCGTTTTTATTGAAATTCAGGACTACCGGTTTCAAGTAGGTAAAATAAAGTAAAGTGAATACATCAAATACAATGTTTTGAAATTTATTCTCTAATAATTAGATCTCTATGGTTGCCGAAAAGCGCTGATAAAAGATCAGAAGAAAGTTGTTGGCGCTTCATTTGACTGTAAGGGTGATGGGATTTTACTATATAAGAGTGTCATTTCCGGTCATCTGCGAGTACAGTTTCCTCAAAATGTTTACCTCAGCCCCAAAAAGTGGGGCTAAGGTGGGTGTGGTCTGACGGAATTCCAAACCCCACCCACACCTTTCAAAACAGATCTCCGCTCTTGTCCACGAGTTTGGTTTTAATTTAAACAATTTTAGTTGCCAATTAATACGGTACCACTCCTGTCGTTGCAGCAGCTCTTCTTCTGATGCCGTATTCATTTGCAGATTCTCAGTGCTTGGTGGTCATTTTTGACTTTTTTTTTATTAGATCTATCAAATTTCAGCTTTTGAATGTGTTTATAAGTTTTGAAATTCAAGTCCACAGCCAGGCTACCCGCTCCAATAATGACCTGTTTTTCCATAACATTCGTTAAAATGATAAATTAATTTGAATTAAAAATTAATAGTAATATTTAAATTAATAGATTTATGCTTTAGTGTGATTTTAAAATAACAAAATATAGTAAAATTGGATGTGCCTTTTAATAAGCTTTTAAGATTCAATGCACACATCCTCCATGTGATTGATTCTTGATTAACCATACATTGTGACATAAATCAAAACACAAAACTCAACAGTCTACGTTATCATCGCACCGCCGATTGAAAGTTCCATTTTAATTAATATTAGAATGCAAAAAATGTATTGCATTTATTTTATTCACCAGTCCACCAGCACTGCAATCAATCAATATTTTTGGAAATATTGTATCTCTCACCCTGACCTTCGCCATGCCGACGGTACGAAGATCTTGGTCCGCGCCTGTTCTACTGGACCAGAACATTAATACAGTGTGTTGAGAATGCTGTTGCTTCCATTAGATTTGTTTACCTTCATGGGGGGGGGGGGGGGGGGGGGGGGGGGTGGTTATCCGAGGAAAAAATAAACTAGGTGGGGCGTTTATTCCAAATGAGGCTCTAGAAGGACGCGTTATTCGAGGGGACATTTATTTAAAACGGAGCGTTTATTCGAATTAATTTCAGAGTCATATTTTAGTTGTTCTCCTACTATGATTTTAGTGCCTCTTATGACATCATTTTTTTGAACAATTTTGTTATCACGACACGAACCCACGACCTCCAGGCTAGTTATCTGGAGGTCGTGAGTTCGAGTCCTACCCGAGAACAACTTGAATTTTTTTTCGCAATTGTTTTCAAACGTGCTAAGTATTCAGTACATTTCCACGTTAGGTAAGGCAAAATTACACCTATACTTGATTCTCCTGACGCAAATCCAGTTATTGTCTATTCCTTCACGACAAAAACAATTACTATCAATTTCGTTATCACTATATTTTTCTTTTTCCTTGTACTTGCTCTGATGCATCTTTTTAGATTTTGTTATTTTTGTCCCATATGCTTTAAGGATTAGGCCTATCATCTTCGTTTATTTTATTATTCCTTAACAGGCTTTTTTTTAAACCTGTTTCGTAGATTATCATCTTCATTTATTTTATTATTCAACAGGCTTTCTGTTAAAGCTATTTAATATTCATGTCTTGTGCTTTCCATTTTTAATCTTTTCGAAGTCCATATTGTAATTCTAAATCTTGAGCAAGGCACTATACCTGCGTTGTTTCTATCCAGTCGGAGTATAAATGGGTACCTGGTAAGGTTGCCTGCAATTCGTAACTCAGCTGGGAAAAGCGATAAACAAGCAACATATAAAGCTCGGTTTCCATCAGCGTGACCACTCACAATTTTTGATATACCCAATGACTGGGTCGAAATTACCCAAGATTCAGCAAAAATTACCATGTATCGTTTCCCTTTTAGTTCAATTTATAAACCATTATTTATTGTAATTGTTTGTGTTAATTATTAAAATTAATATTCATGAGGTAATAATACGGATAGAAAAATACGCCCTCAGTCGGCCAGTGTTATCAGTGATCAAGTTTTATTATGTAATGCATTAATTAGGTAAGATCAATGGCAACTCAAATCACAAACAAACAATTCTGAACCAACCCATGTTTATAGCAATTAGGCCTAACAGTCAATTGACAATGTTATGTGCACTTTGTTGAGTTTTGCTTACTTGAATGGACGGAGATACACTTTGTTACAGTCTTAATTCTTCCTCTATGACAACAAATATTTAATTTTCTTAGTAAAAATAAAACACCTAAGGAATTGAACGGAATACCCAAGTACCCAAAGCCATGTCAAAATACCCAAGATCTTGGGTAAATACATCACTACAATCCTTGCACTGCGTATACCTGTCCCCGACGCAATCGGGAACGTTCATTGATTCAACTTAACCAATCAGCGTTACCAAAGGAGTCGGCGATAACGTGTAGGGATATTTATGGAAACCAGTGTATTACGCATAAAATTTATATAAATATATAAGTATATTATTTTGATACATATGTACATATTTTAACTTGACTCTAGAACATTGTGTCTGTATTTAACATTTAATAATATAAAGTGTCTAGACCCAGGTTTTAATGGTCAAAGGAATAGAAGTAGCAATATTTTGTGGATTAATTTTATATTAAGCTCACATAAATTTGAGAAAAGATTGCCATATAGTTTCCGGACAGATACTGTAATAATAATTTAACTAATAACATGTGGATACCACCTTGGCCTGCTCATATATCAGTTATATCAGTACGCCAACTCGTATTTTTGGATTTGTCTATCTTGACACTCTTCGCAGCAATGGCAAAACCTTCTGTTTTTCTTAAAAGAACTGAACACTGTGTCACAATCAGCGATGTAGCTAGGGGAGAAAGGACCACAGTGCAATAGTAATTGCAGGGCCTTTTATGTGAAGCATTAATCGGGGGCCATAGGTCTAAGGGTGGGTTGTTGTTAATTTACCTCGGTGGTGTAGGCAATACCCAAAAGCTCCGATGTTTTAATTTTCAGGAGTTGCACATTGAATTTAAAGAATGAAAATTCTAGGACTAGGTATAAAAAAAGTTAATATTATACAAATCTACGATAAGTTCATTAAGATATCTTTAAAACATTCAGAAATGTTCTTATAATTAAAAGAATTTAATATGGTTATAAGAGTTAAGTTCATCATTTATATTTACTAAAATTTCACTTCTATTTTTCAATGCCCTCTTTATTTATGTCTTTACAGGAAAATAATTATCGAGTAGCAATGTAGGGCATATACTAAAAACTCAGTGTTAAAACACAAATAAGTTTAAAATTATTCTTTGTATGTTATTTGGAACTACAATTGCAGTCTCTGGGGGCAATTCAAAATTTTTAACGGGTCCAGTTCTCTCCTAGCTACCTGTACACCTATTTTGAGTACATATCTATACCACAAACATCTTTATGTTTGTGTTATAGATATTTTCTTTACCATGTTAGACTTCTGACAAACTTTGAATCTCTGGAGACTGCAACATTGTCTTCAAAGACTAAACGTTGCGGTGTGCAGAGCATATTATTTGCTAGCTCATTGTATACAGACTATACATTGTTAACTAGTGTCACTCAAAGAAAACACCTAATGTCCTAAACTTAGCCATACTTTATACACTTTTATAAAAGTTATTTAAGGTCATCCACACTTTTCCTCTTATACCAGTCTATATGAAATTTTTTTCTCAAATTTATAGGCAAATTAATTGAAAAAAAAATTGTTATGATATTTTTTTATATTTAGCATCTGGCAATACATCTTTAATAAACCAAAATCAGTAATAAAACAAACTCTTTCAATTTGTTTTTACTCCTAATCTGGTTGTCTAAAATATTATTATAAACTTTCACAATTTCATTATTTTATATAAATATCTAAACAATTCTGAAAGTAAATTTACATAGGTTAGTGCAATAAAAATGGACATAGGAGTAATCCTTATCTATTCATTAACAAGAAAAACATTTTCATAGAAGTGTCTCATTAATAATGGTTTTTCCTGAAAAGGAGTGTTCCAAAAAATGGTTCTTACTATAAAATAATAATATTAATAGTAAGTGACATTTATAAAGCGCTTTACGGCAGCAAGCCGACTCCAGAGCGCATACAATCATCAAATTTAAACAACAGTGTACAATACAAATTCTAGAAACATTTACAATATTTATAATCCAAAAAAAAAAAAAAAAAAAAAAAAAAAAAAATGTCAAATGGAATAATTTTAATTGGTAACAATAATTCAATTAATTTACTCTATTTACATTAATTTGATTATTACAAAAATATAGTAAAAGGGAGAGGCAATTGGACAATATAGAAAATACAAGTATTAACAATATAAAAAATTACAATTATTCAAAATTAAGCATAAAAAAAGATCAATGAATTGCATCATAATCCAACAATTAATTAATCAATTCATTGTTATTACAAAATGACATTTTCATCTGCAAGATATCTGAATTTACAATTTAAAAAGGTAAGTTTTTAAACCAGATTTAAAACATTCGAATGACATCGCCTTCCTCAAAAATTTGGGAAGATCGTTCCATTCCTTGGGTGCGGCAATGGAAAATGCTCTGTCACCATACGTAGATTTATTAGTACGAGCGGCTTGCGGGATTTAAAGCAATCTACTAGAGCTGGATCCTAAGGTGCGTGACGGTATATAAACATCTCATCTATATAAGATGCGGCCCGGCTATTACACACATCT